AAACAGATATATTCACATTCAACAGAATCATGAAGATACACTATAAACGTTAAAGTACAGGTGATCAGCTATTTTAGCCGATGCAGGCATAGCAAACAACCAAGGTCATGCCTGGTCGTAAGCAAATCTACCAGCTAGCATCCTCCGATCTAAAGTACTAACAGTGAGGATCGACCGGATCATTACATCCATAATAACGAGCTATAGATCAGATTCAACTAGCTAGTAAACCTTCTCAAGATTAGACACGCCTTGACCATGTACTATACATGACCAGGATCAAAGTAGAACAGCCGATGAAACATAATCCATTGTTTAAAGTAAGAACTATCGTGATGTAACAAAAATAAACGAGGGACTAAAAGGATGTGAGGCCGATCTAGATCGATTTTGATCGGGCAGGGTGATATTGCTGAAACTAATAACAATAAGAAACATCAGCAAGATCAGTAGCTTAATGAATCTACCCGAAGGATGCCACCCTCAAATAGAGCAGATAACCTGACCTTAATCTAATTCGAGCAGTGGAGATTGAACTTAACCGATGTAGCCGTACTTGAACTAGATAAGAATCGATAACTAGCTTATACTAGAGCTCGCAAGAGATCGGCCGGACCGATGCAGCCTTACAAACAAAAGTATAAGCCATGACGGTACTTACAGACAAGTCGGAGGTCAGCCGGACCGATGCAGCCCTGCTTGTTGAAGAACTCATCGAGATCTATAGTACTCCTACTCCTAAGGGTTGGTGTAAAGCTGAAAAAGGTAATTTGTATTGATTGATTGGATGTGTCCTACAATAGCCGGGGTCCAATATTTATACCCAAAACCTAAGCATGAATCCTACTTAAGTACGACTCATTACAATCTTTGGTATAAGAGAAAATATTCCTAACTTAAGATAACTTGGACCATAATATTTTCCTTTTTTAGAGTCCGACATGTCTTTCCTGACGCCAGCCGTAGCTCATTGACGTTATCTGCTGATGTCATCCGAAGAGAGCCGATTCCATTTCCGCATCCGAATCAGCTGATATCGATCCCATGATGACACACTTTTGGAAGCTTCAAATTCCCGCGTTCTTCTACCCAAATTTTGGTGTAAACACAAGCTCAAGTAGAATTTGGATCCGCCAAGATACAAGCCGTAGAGAGAGCACCGACAGGCCGGCACCTCCATCAAACTCTTCCCTCACTCTCTATCTCACTATTATTTACAAGACTAGATTCTATGAAGGACTAATCTTCTCTTAATAACTATCTCTGATCCTCATGATATGAATTAGGGTTTTAGGATGGCTCTAGGGAGGATGGCAGGGGCTGGTATATATAGGTCGAAGCGTCCAACATGAACCCTTAGATCAAACCGACTCGAAGGACGACGTAGATACAACCTAGGAGGTGGTAGAGAACCGACATTACGACGCGGAGGCTGGCAGGTGGGCCTAGGGGCTGGGCGGCCTGCAGGTGGGGCCGGCCGACCCCACAAGGTAGCCCCTCGGGTCTGCTTCAGTGGAGAGCCTTCTGAAGTCTTCTAGAATCTTCCCATGCTGTTTACATGACGGAATTTCGTAATTTCCTCTGATGAATAGGTCCTCTTGACGGTTTTCTGGATAAACCCTACTGAAAACACAGACCACCAAAACTCATGGAATTTATTAGGTGGGGCCGGCCAGCCCCTCGGGTCTGCTTCAGTGGAGAGCCTCCTGGAGTCTTCTAGAATCTTTCCACGCTGTTTACACGGCGGAATTTCATAATTTTCTCTAATGAATAGGTCCCCTTGATGGTTTTCTGGATAAACCCTGCTGAAACACATATTACCAAAACTCGTAGAATTTATTAGTTTAAACCCCTATATCTATGTTTGGTGATGAAATTAAGTATAAATACATGTTATGTTGACGGTTTATAATTGATGTCAGTGATCGTGAACCGCCATCCTTGCCATTTCATTACTCTAGCATGCCATGGACCTGCGTAAGCCGAGAAAATAGTTCACTGATGATGGCATCCATGTGTTCGTTCGGATCTCAAGGGGACCTCTGCCTGAGGTTTCGCGGACAGAACCCTGGGTCACTAACCCAAAATTTTAGTATAAATTCAGCTAACCAGATCACTCAAGAGCAAACGTTTGCGGCCACCACCATGAGACTGGTCAAGCTCTTCGCTGTCTTCACCCTGGCTGTTCTGTTCACCGCGACATGGCCCGTTGCTGTGCTGGGGGGTGGCTGGCCCGGGCGCCCCCAACGCCGAAATCTGGTCCCATCCAGCACCATCGCCCACGACGACTACACCACCCGCCGCCACCGCCGCTCCATCGTGGGTCTTTGTCGGCCACAACCATATCCAGCACTACCACGGCTACACCGCCCGCCGCTCCATCGGCACGGTCTTCCGTCTGCCACAACCATATCCAGCACCACCACCATTTCATCATTAGATTAGAATTCAGTATTCGATCGAGCAAGATATTTTTTGCATTCACAGTTTCAGTACTTTTTTAGGCGCCCCCTCAATCAGTGCTCGATCTTTCGATTGTTCCAGTAAACAGTGTTGACTCTTTTAATCAGTGTTCACTCTTTTATCCAGTAATATAGATCGTGTGATCTTCAAATCGTATACTGCTTTCGAAATTTCAGTATTTGGCTGAGCTATTATTTTCTTTTACCATTCAAATCTTTACTGCGGTTAAGACGTTAAAATGTCTCGTGAGAACAAGCAAATCATTTAAATTTGAATACAAAACGGGTCTTAATTTTCTGCACAAGAAGGATTCAGAGACAAAGAAACTGATGTTCTTAAGACTTACTAGACCAGCCTCAACGAGGGGAGGCGACCTCCCCCCTCAGCCGATCTGAAGAGCAGAAGATTTGTTCTCCGAGCAACGCAACACCTCCATTGCCATTGAAATCGGACAAAGGGGCTGCCTGAATCGTTGCTCGTTGACGTTCTCTCGTCCTTCGAGATGAGATCGATCCGATGCAAAAGGGAGCTCGGACACAGCAAAAACAATGAGACGCAAAAAAAAGAGAAGGAAAATAACCGAACAAGTGATCACATCAGAGACATGAAGCCACGAAGACATCCTGCAAAACTGATCTGCACAGGCGCGACGCCTCGGGGTGGCCGTGCGGCGCTGAAGTGAAGAGGTTCGCTGCGTCCTCTCGCCCGGATTGCCTTTATAGGAGGGAGGAGAGGGGAACCCTAACCAGGGGAGGTCGCCTGGGCTGGGTCACGGGAAATGATAGGGGTGCCCCTGTAGCCCATTTTGAGCATCAGGCCGTTGGGTTATGTCTTGGCCGGCCCAGTAAGAGGAGAATTTTCGGACTAAAATTAAGCCCAATTCCTAAGGCGAACGTGGGAAAATTTCTCCATTCGTACATTTTTTCTATATAAAATTGAATTGATTCCTATAAAATTGTATGATATCTATGAAATTCCTGCGTTTCAAACATGCCTTATAATTGCAGTGCATCAGCATCCTTAGAGCATCTCCAAGAGTATCCTAAATTTTCCTCCCAAAAATGTTTTCCAACTCCTAAAAATATATTAGGAGAAGAAAAAAAAAGACCATCTCTAATAGTTTCTAATAATTCACTCCTAAAATATAGAATATAATTTTACATCAGGAATCCTATACTATTACTAAATTATTTTAACCAATTTTTTATATTCTTTCTCTCTTGTGCATTTGCATTTGGAACCTTGTCATATACTTTATTCTTTTTTCGCCCTTCCACCTTTAATTGGCTGAAGAATATGTGCGGCTCCGCGCAAAGTTACTGCGCGACAGGGAGGATTTCTCAAGTGCGTAAATTTTAGAAGGAAGGATTATGAGTTGTTGGAGAGGGATTTTTCTCATCTTGCCAAAAAACAAGGATTAGGAAGGAAATATGGTACTCTTGGAGATGCTCTTATACCAAATAATAAAAAGAGAGTATATGGTTGGTGTTTGGACTCCCCAGCTTAGTTTAATAAGGGGAATCAGAGCCTCCTGGAATAGAATAATCCGGTTGAAGGGTAATGATCATACGTCTATAATGCATTGTATGTTCCGGAATAGGTCCCATTCTTCTACCCTTTCCGGGTAGTCGATGGCTATTCACAACTACTACCTTAACGCCAAAGAAGTGTTCGACCCAATGCTTTATTTCTGTCTTAGTGAATCTCAATTCGACATTAAAAGTATATATTGATTCTTTCCCAATGAAACATTTGGGGGTTTCATGAGAGAGAAATGATAGCTCCTCATCCATCCGGGGCTGAATAGGAGTTCGGTTGAGAGCAAATTTTGTGTTGTGGTGTCTCAAAATAGGATAGGGCTTCAGTTAAGAGTTTAGCTGGAGTTGCTTGATAACTTGACAAATGCATATACAAGTTGTGTGGACTACGAAACATTTGTCAAGTCACGATTGATACATTCGCATAGCATCATTCATGATTGTATATCAAACGGAAGATGTTCACTGCAGGAAAATGGGTGGATTCATCTATCAGTTCCACAAGTTCCCTTACCAAGGTAGTGTTTAGTTGGCGAATTTTTTGGCGAAATGGTACTGTAGCACTTTCGTTGTTATTTGACAATTAGTGTTCAATCATAGTCTAATTAGGCTTAAAAGATTCGTCTCGTGAATTTCGTCTAAACTGTGTAATTAGTTTTATTTTTTATTTATATTTAATGCTTCATGTATGTGTCCAAAGATTCGATGTGACGGAAATCTTGAAAATTTTTGCAAAATGAAGTGCAACTAAACAGGCTCCAAGCATGTGCAAAGAATTTAAAAAACCGCAATGTTAACATGACACAGATTTCAGTCCACGATCCTAAGGATTCAACAGGAATGGAGACAACTGACCACGATCTACTCTTTGCTAATTGCTGATACTCAACTAAAAACAAAGCACTTAAAGCATCATGTCTGCCATAAGCCAATGCACCAACAGAAGGTTCATCATCATGGAATGAATGGATCGCAGTGTTCTCATCATGGTACTGGTGGTCAACCCGTAGCATGATCTGAAAAGCCAAAATTGATAAACTCATAACCATGCCATAGCTCAGATTCCAACAAACCGAGTCGTGATATTTCAAAAATTAATGTGATTGAGTTCTTCTGTGGCGTGTGCTTGGGATTGGCCATAGAGGAGAGTACAGCTGTACGTACAGGAAAAATTGGATCAACAGTATCTAGCTAGTTTCAAGTACTATGTAAGTTAGAGACTGACTTAGATCATATTAGATTTGATAGCATTCTGCATTCATAACGTCGATTCTCTTGAGTATCCAGTCATCCACATTTTTTTGTGACAAATTACCTGGAGTATAGAAGCTCATGTAAGGAATGACAACGTCGGGCCTTCTGCTGGACATCTTCTTGACTTGGCCTGACTCCAGGTTAATCGCGAAGATGCCAGCGCTTGTCCTGACGAAGATGACGCCGAGGCCCTCCGCGAAGCCAACCGCAATTGCATCTTCCTTCGTCAAGATCTCCGTGAAGCCAAGCGCAGTTGGTTGGTTCAAGGGGACACGAGTCTTGCGATCGGGCAGTGTGCTGAGTTCCAAGGCCCTGCTCTGCGTCCATGCCGCCAGTTCTGTCCGAACCGGCGGTCTCTCTCGACCACAGGTAGAGGCGGGACCCCCGCACACTGGCGAACCCCAGACCACCGCCCATTGCCGGCATGAGGATACCGTGACCTTGGTGCGCTAACGGCGGGTCGACAAATGCGTTTCCGGCGACCCAAGTCGTACTCCACGATGGTCTTGCTCTGTGCAGCGGGGAAGTAGATCCTATTTCCCACAAGCGCGATGGGTTCCAGCATGTCCATGTCCGCGAGGCCATTGGGGTGTTGAGCGTAGGTCGCGTCTCTCCAGGCTCCGGTCTTCGAGGAGTAGACGCGGGCGTACGTCATCCCATCGTCGTCGGTGTCCACGAATGCGACGAGGAAGGGCCCGCCGTGGCAGTCGAGGTGGTCGCAGTCGCAGCCCCCTTCGCGCGCGGCCGCAGCGCAGAGCACCGCCACGTTCCAATAGTAGAACGGGCACGGCATCCACAGCCCCCACACCTCATCCGTGACGGGGCTCCATACGAAGAGGTCATGGTCATTCTCCTCGCCGGTGACGTTTCTGAAGAGGATGCGGCCGTGGCGGGCGTCTACCACGTAGCAGCCGGCATGGTCGAGGGTGCGAGGGCGGAAGGAGGTGGTGCGGACGAACCGAGCGAGGAAACGATTGCTAGGGAGTTCCAGGTGGAAGAGAAGGCCCAGCATGGGAGGCACCCCGTGGAACGCGCGATAGCGGCGAAGGAAGGCGGGGTCGGTGAGGAGGCGGCGCCAGGGCTTGCAGACGGCCGAGCAGCGAACGAGCCGCCTAGGATCGTGCGGCGGGAGGCGGAGGAGGATCTCAGCGATGAGGTCGTCGGGCAGATCCAGCAGCGAGCGGCCGCACAGGCGTTTCGGCGGAGGAGTCATGGCCATGGTGGCCTATTCTACTACGATTCATTCGCATCTCTTACTTTCGAATATAGAGTTCAAGCTCCAGCATATTATTGGGCCACGTCACCCTATTTTCACCACCGTTAGATCCCAAGCAGAGTTCCCATCCGGCCGTTGGTCAGGCCTCGATTGCTACGTCGTGACGTTTCGAGAGGGCTCATCGTTCAGCCCTTGCGACTTTTCTTTCCTGCCGCAATCGCGTCCCTCGCGAGCTCCGGCCAACCCAGGCCATCGACAGCGAGCACAATTCCACAAGATGCGACTAAAACGTCGCTGCCTCTTTCTCCATCTCACGTGCATCGATGTCGCCACCCCTCCTTCTGGGGCTCTGGCTCGCCGTCCTCCTCCTTTGTGGGGCTCTGGTTCGCCGTCTTCGCCTTGCTTCGGGCGCAGAGATAGGTTGAACAGAATGTGAAGACCGAGGAGGTGTCAACAAGGAGTGAGAAATTAGGGTACCAGGTCGCTGGCTGCTGTTGTACAGCTTGTTCGTTTGTTGGTTTTAATGCAAATTTAAACTAAAGCCTAAAATTAATAATATTTTATTTTTTTAAAAAACCCAAGATCGGTAGTTTAAAAAACCAAAGACCAAACCAAAGAAGCAACCAACGAACGAACAGGCCCGTAGTATGCACGAGCGCTAGCCGCGACCGTGGAGACTAGCGTATCCCTGCGGTGAGCCGGTGATGGGGCGGCGGTGGTGCAGAGTCGAGTGCCATATGGTAGCGCATCCTCGCGGCGGTGGCCCGTAGCGACGCAGAGTCGAGCGTGATATGATGCGAGCGAGGATCTACTTGAGGTCGTTGGCGCCGCCTCCATCGCACAGAATTATCTACTGTATCATTGGTGCTGAAACGAGAAAAAGCAGCATACCTCCTGCCCTCCTCTGTCCATCTCGTCGCACACCTACTCGACGGACTCCACCATGGTGTTCGCTGAAATTCCTGCCCAGAACGTGGTAATCTCCAATTCTATCTATCCTTCCCCACCCCTTACTCCTGCAGTCTTGCTTCAATGACTTTCAAACAGATAAGGTCTTATGTCCAGTAAAATTTCTTACTTGCACACTGTATGGCTCACCTTTACATGCTCTGCTTTCTTATTTGTCTCTCAAATTCCTAATCATGATAATATCACTGAACAACTAATTTTTATTTATGTTACCTGAAATTGGAAGTTAGTAGCCGCTTACATTCTGCGGTCCTTTGTGCAGGGGGTGTAAAAACTAATTTCAAAAGTAATATACACGGTGTATACTTTAGTCTATATGTGTACTCTAAGACATGGAAAGTTCTATTAATCATTCTTTTGTGGAAAGAATTATGTAATACTGCTATTATGAAAGTTGAGACATTAGGAACTTCTCGCAGTTCTCACGAGATTTGACATTGCCAAATGCTATTCAACCTTTAAATGGCAAAAGCCTTTGTATTCATTGTTTACCCTATACAGCATATAGATGCAGTTTGAGCCTATGTTTGCCACGCCTGCAGTACGATATTAGGACAAGGGAAGCTGTAACTCACAGTTGATCTACAAGCGTGTTCTTGCTCAGATGTCTTGTCATCTAATCTTTCAATTTTTTATTGCTCTATTATCATTTTTCTCCAAGAAAACGTATTGAGCAACTCAATTTCATTGACCCTGAAATTGTTTGAGAGTTTTTTTTTCACTCAGAGCATCCACTCATAATATAGCTAAAATATAATAAACTAATAGCTCCAAAAAGTAGCCAACCAGAGAATTGTACTTACTCCCTCCGTCCCGTTGTCTCTGTCGTCGTAGCTCTGAACCAGGTGCATCATTGCAGGTCTGAACCTGGACATCAATATGACTAGATACATGGACTTCTTTATGAACCTGGTCACTTAAATACTGAGCTAGAACGACAATTGTCGTGGGACAGAGGGAGTATAATATAAGTACATGGATATCTGTTGATTATTCTTGTCCAATCTAGAATGTGTGTTCCAAGGTAGGCGCGGCAAGGCCGTTCGCGACTACTCTACAGTCCTACTTACCTGGAACTGGAAGGCGGAGAAGCCCGTGGTGGGGCGATGGATTTGTGTGCCTCTTGTTTGGTTTCATCTCTAGTAATACCTTAGCTTACTAGCGTAAATTAATTTTATGTTTTTGCTAGCATAGTCTACATGCTCTGTTTTAGAAATAACTCTTGTCGGATACCACAAGAAGTGGTACCCCAAGCAAGAACCGAAAATATTGCTAAAGCCTTGCAAAAAATCAAAGCCAAAGGACAACCACGAGTTCTTAGCAGATTCTCCGATTCGCCCGAGGCTTGCGCCGATGCCTCAGACGAAAGGCCAAAGCTCTCCGCCCCGCCGAGGCCCTCTCGCCGATGCCCTCTCGCCGAGGCTCCGCCCCGCAAGGCCTCGGACAGGATACCAATTCTCCGATTCGCTCGAGGCTGGGCTCGGCAACAACCTCGTCACCTCCGTCCCGACCGACTCCTCTGACAAATCATCACGACCAGTTAATGCGCCCAACTACTTCCGCACGTCAGCCGCACGTTGGTGCAGTACAGGCAGAGTGACCGACGGGACAGGGGACCGGGCGCAGCAGGGGTTATCTGCCACTGTGCTCATCACTGTGCCCCCTGCTGACACCCGTACTGCCCTGTGCTACCTAACTCCTGCGATAAGGACAAAGCGGCGTGGAGGGTCAAGTCCGGGTCCCTGTAGTCTCGGAATCAGCATGAAAGACCAACTGCTCGTCCACCGCCTCGTCCGAGACCCCCCGGCAGGGCCTCGGACATACTATTCCTTCTCCGCCTCGGCCGAGGCCGGGCTCGTCCCGCATCCTCGTCGCCTCCGCCTCAACCGTCCCTCTGGCGAGCCGTCCCATCCGTTTAAGTGCGCCTGGTCACACCTGCTACATCAGCCACGACTGGCAGGGTACAGCAACAAGGGCGATGGGACAGCGGTCAAATCTCCTTTTTACCATCCCTACTGACGGTGCAGGGATTACCGTGCCCTGTGGACACACGCTCCGCACTTTTCCACCTGAACCAGGTACGACGCTGACCACCGAGACCCCGCATCATACACGGGTCACCTCCAAGGCCTCGGCAAAGCAGGCCTCGGCACGATCGGCTACAGCACCCGCCAAGCCTCGGCACTCCACCGAGTCAAGAATCCACAAGGCACGGCATGTCTCCTACAGTGGAAGCCATACTGACTAGACGTCAACAAGGACTCCCACGACTTCAACAACCTCGGGCCTGGCCAGCACGGCGCGCTAGTCAAGTACCAATCGTCATTCCCAACACCATGCTGCTACAGAACTAAACTACAATAGGCTCCACGTGTAGCTCACTCATGTACTCCTGGCTCCCTCCTTGCGGATATAAAAGGAAGCAGCCAGGGATAGTTCTAGGGGGGCAACAAAAACATACAAAAGAACCACGCCCTCACACACGCCCAAGCAACACTCCGTAACATGCGCTCCCAAGCTGCCTGAGAGCAACGTCTCAAGCGGCCCGCACCGTTCCACACCGAGACCTGGGACTAGCTCCCTCTCTCACCTAGCTTGTAACCCCCTACTACAAGCACTTCGGTGCAAGGAATACAAGATCGATCTCTTAGACTGGACGTAGGGCACCAATTGCCTGAACTAGTATAAACCTTGTGTCTCTTTGCATCACCATCCGGAATTAGGGGCACGCAGTTCAAATTCACTGGTTGGTTGGGGACCCCCCGGTCCGAAACAACGACAGTTGGCGTGCCAGGTAGGGGCCTCTGCGTGTTAGCTTGATCGTCCCAGCAAGTTCTGGATGGCTGACCCCATACGCCCACTACGTCTCAGCATGGTGATCTGGTTCGGGAGCCTAGAGTTCATATCTCTAGGATGTGAGTATGACCTAGTACTCCTCCCACCTAGAGCCCCTTTGGCCGGCGACGGCGTCGCGCACCAGTAGCCCGGGCACAGGCGGCGCCCGGGCCACCGCTCTCGTCACGCTCGCTAGGCATGGCGCGAGCAGGACCACCCCGACACCGCACGACCTCAAGGCGACGCGCCACGCTCCACCGGTATCCCGTGCCCGGTTGTTGGTACGAGGTCCCTAGTTGGGGACCTGTCTGGCCTAGGCTTGGGCAGGGGAAAGACATCGGTGACATGCAGCGACGCCCCGTCGTCAAGTTTCGCACTGCCACCACCTGAAGAGCCAACTCCGGCAGAGCAGGGCCCGGCGGTGGCCCCGTCTCCATACCCTTTCGGGTTGAGAAATGTCGCGCCTACGCTTCCGCTCACACGGAGCCCCCAGGGCGCCACCAACGTTTCGCCCTTGACTTTTCGGCCACAACCTCGGCTCACACCCACACCGACTCCTCGAAGGAGGATGAGGCGTGGGCCGGAGCAGACTTCTCTGGGCTTCGCGACCCTGAGGCTATGCGCCGCTTTTTAGCCGCAAGCGACTACTGCTTCGGCTATTCCGACTCCAATGACGAAGGCACTTACGATCCCACTCGAGAGTGCTTCCACATCGGGCTCAGAATGCCAGGGGCAAGTAATGAGAATGAAGGGGTAGGCAACCGCTCTCCGCTCCAACAAAGGGCGGGTGACGCCACACCACCGCTCGACGAGCTTCGGGCGGCACGGAACGTGAACGCCGCCCCCGAGAAACTCCGACGCCTGGACCTGGAGCAGCTCCGTGAGCTCCAGGCAAAGGTTGACCAAGACCGACTCCTGCTGCGGCAGCTCCGAGACACTCTCGAGCAGGAGCAGCGAGGTCGCGGTGATGGCGGAAGGGCCCGGCGGAGGGCCCACGACGTGCACCGCCACATCAACAACGACAAAGGGAGTGAGCAACCCCCAATCTTCAATCGTGCTAGTCAGAACATCGCGGCAGCAGCAATGCTAGTCCGGGCGATGCCTGAGCCCTCTACCACGGAGGGGCGACGGGTTTGCGGCGAGCTCCGAGACCTTCCTGAGACCACCGCGGTACAGCAGGCCGAAAGCTCCGTGTCTCG